AAGTGTCCCTGCCCATGGCAGGGGGGTTGGAACTGGGTCATCTTTAAGGTGCCTTCCAACCCAAACCATTCTATGATTCTATGAACACTGCAGAACAGCCTGGAGAAGCCACTATACACAACCTCTACATATCACTGCAAACCCTGAGTATCAAGAAGGTTCAGTACCTGCATCCAAATTAGTTGGCAATTAAGTTTAACTTACACTTTCACAAAAGTAGTTTTGATTAACAAACTGATAATCCACAGCCTTGCCAATATACTTTTCATTCTTCGGAGTATCGCAGAAAAGTCACTATCCACCAATGTAAGAGATCAAAACCTTGACACCACCAAGCAGAGCAAGCTTTTCCTTTCTGTAACTGCTAGCCTGAGCAGAGTCCCAGAGAAAAACTGCATACATCCTTTCTGGCATCCACATGAACCATTCTGGTCAACTTCGATGCAAGAAGGCTTTCCTGCTTTTCCAAGTGACAGCCTCCAATTGCTCCCCCTATCTACCAGTGATCTAATACACTACATTAGACTACGCTACGCACGCTCTCCGTGTTGCATTTCCAACTCTTGAGTTCAGCGTTATTCCATTGTAATCACATCTTCAACCTTAAACAGAACCAGACCTTAATACAGCTATTAAGAATAGCAAGGGCTGACAAAACATGCGTGGAAAAGCTAGGTAGAAACACAGGTTAAATGCAGGTCAGGGTAAGCTGAATAGCAATAGGAAGCTTGGAACCCATAAAATATTAAAGACGAATAGCATAACTTTGCCTCTGCCCATCTTTTTACTTTAAGATTCTCGCTTCAGCAGCTAGCATCTTTGCTGTGCAGAGAACAAGCAAAATAACAGATGCCCCCGAATATAGTTTCTATCCAGTATTTCTAAACTTTATTTTGAGCTCATCATAACATCTTCTTTATATAGTGTGGAGGGCATACACAGAATGATTTACAACACTAAGAACTATCCTTCTAACACTTACCATCAGCATCTACCTCGTTGATCATATCCTGCAATTCTGCTTCTGTTGGATTTTGACCCAACGACCTCATGACAGTTCCCAGTTCTTTTGTTGTGATAGTACCATCACCATCCTTGTCAAATAGGGAAAAGGCTTCCTTGAACTCTAGAGGCAGAAACAGCGCCATTGTTTAGTGACATCACCAGCTAAGAAAACTGCATACAAAAATGCATTCCAGTGAAAGACGTCTGGTAAGATTTTGGGAAACATTTAACTTGCCTGTGTGTTGACAGAATTTTTTTTTTCAAATATTAGTAGAAATAGTTACAGTACCAACAAAATCTGCACAGCCACATGACCTAAGTTTCCATGTACTAACATAATATTGCAATGTGAATGCATTTCAACATCGTGTTGCTTGAATTACTGTTGCAGCACAAATTGCAGCTGTTTGGGATAAGCCAGGGAACCCAACAGCTCACCCATTCACCATTAACAAACTTACAGGAATAAAAATAAGTGGTAAATGGCAACACAAGGCAGCAGACATAAGAATTAGTGTCAACCTCAAGTGGGTGTGACTGGTCTCCACAAGGTCAAATACTATTCTCTCAACCAGTTTGAGTTAGACACTGTTAGAAGTTATTTAAATAAACGCTTGTGTTAACAGGTAATAAATCAGTTGTAGGTTTACTTTTTTCTATTTCACTTCAAGTTTATCTTCACCTGAAAAAAAGATTTAGTTCTGCCTTGGCTCTAAGAAGTTCACTGAAAATTCAAGCAATTACTTGTTTGCAAGAAATGTAGAAACACTTGGCTCAGATAATCTGCAGCCCACATTGAAACAGAACATACCAATAGTATTCCAGAACTTTATAAAAGGGAGTGCTTTTGATTTTTTTAAATAATTGTTAGTATAGATTTGAAATTGTAGAGAAAAAAAAAGATGATTCCATTATGTTTGAGATATTTTCTTTCAGTCACAAGGAATTAGCCAAAAAGTATGTATCATTAAGACACTTACCAGCAATCTGTTCTTCAGTCAGCTGATCAGCCTACACGAAGAATAGAATATTTTAGAATAATGTTTACCTCTGTGTCAAGCCACAAGGCCCTTCCTTCAAACTTAGCAGAGATTTATTATTACCATTACAAAGACACTTTCAACCCCTGGAATTCTCCCTCTGCAAGAAGGGATTCCACTCCCCTACACAATGCAGCCGTTCCCAAAAGCAGAGAACTAGCATGTTCCAGAACTGCCCATTCAGAACAATATGCCATCCTTTGGCTCAAAGAACCCGATTTGGTCAGGCGAAGGACACAAGGCAGGCTCCTTGTAATTGATCAGAAAGGCATGAAATCCTTAATGACATGCTTAGAGTCTCGCATCACATCAGATGTCACTTCCAGAAGTACAGTGACCCTAACCGAGCGTGGGGGTATTTGCACATCAGTGGGCTAACGGCAAGTGTGCCACCTAGTGATCTAACGCTACAGCAGCCCAACCCCACAGCGCAGTCCAGCCAGCAGCCTCCAGTAAGCCTAACACACAGGACCGTGCTGTAACAGGAGGAAATGCTGCTCAGTATCAGAGATTTTCACCATCCGACAAGAAAACACCAGTTTAAGCATCACATTATTCCCCCATCCAGCCAAGCACCTTAAGATGCCTCCCAGCGAGGCACAAACCACAGAGCACATCCTTCTAACACCAAGATTTAAAGCGCTCGCCTGTGACCTTCTGCACACCAGGAGGCTGCAGCCAGAGGTGCACTGCGCAGCGGGCACCTCAACGCGCTCCTCCAGAGCTCAGCTGTGCCGACTGCATCCTTCCAGAAATCTCCCCTTTCTGTACGGATAGGGCATCGCAAGAGCCTCCATTGATTGGGCTAAGATAGCTGGTTCTTCACAAAAATCATGTATTTCTCTCATCATTAACAACAAAACAAGCCTAAAATTGAATTTTAGTTATCCAGACATGGATATTTGATAACATAGAATACCAGCTCCTATAAGACTCCCTTTTTTGAAAAGCTTTTACCAATACAAAAAAAATATGCTGTTGGTCAAAGCAAGCAGGCATCTCGCAACCCTTTTGTCCTAAAATACCATTAATCTCAAACATAAAAGCCAGGTAACTACAGCAAAGGGCAACAAATGCAATGGAGAATTAACAGGCGACATGATCTGTCAAGCCCTGCACAGGTGAACAACAGGGTTGGAAGCTTGTTGGATGTGTTAAGTGACATACAGACATCATCAGTATTTAGGTGCCAGCTTTAGATTTAGTGTTTTATGTCTGTGTGTAATGATTAAACAGCTCCCCACATGTATGGGGGGGGGGGGGGTAAGAAAATAGTGCTTGCAGTTAAAAACCAAATTCACATTTCTTAAGTCGTGCTAAAAGACTGTAGAAAACGTCTTCAAAAATCCAGCTTGACCTCCCACTCTTTTCACGATTTTCCAGCAAAGATGAGGCTTCCCTTGAAGATCATCTAAGCAATTTACATAACAGACCAAATGCCCTGCAGAACAGGAAACGGAGCCACACCTCGGCAAAACCCTCACCCAGCAGCACCAGCTTTCTGCCCCGTGTCTCGGGGCTCCGGATGCCTCCAAAAACCGGCGTCACACCAAGAAATGGCAGTGCCGGAGCTGTCCTCGGGGCTCGGCTCGCTGCAGGCGGCCACCAGCGCTGTGCTGGGGGACAAAGGTGCCTGGGGCTGGGGCTGCCACCCCGCCCTGCCCCGCCACCGAGCCGCGTCCCGGCGGTGCCAGCCTGCCCCGGCGGGGAGGCAGCACGGAGCGACACCCAGATGGCCAGGAAGCGATGAGAGAGCAGCCCGCTCTCCTCTCAAAAAAAAAAAAAAACAAAAAAATAAAAAAATATAACCCCCAGCCCTCCCCCCCCCGGCCGGGGGGCTGCCCCCGAAGCCCCCCAGCCCCAGGCTGCCACCCCCGGGGCTGGGGCCGGGCGGGCAGCGCGGGGCGCAACAGGCGCCGTGCCCGGCGGGCAGTGCTGCACTGCGGCCCCGCTTCCCTTCCCCTCCCCTCCCCTTCCCCTCCCTCCCTCCCCCGGGCGGGGAAGCAGCGGCTGCCCCCTGCCCCGATGCCCCATCCCCTGCCCCAATCCCCCCCAGTCCCCTGCCCCCGGGGGCTGGAAGGGAGGCGGGGGGGATGGGGGGGGGGGGGGGTGAGGCTCGGCTGCCCCCCCAACCCCCGCGGCCGGGGGCCAGGCGGCGGGAGGCAGGGAGGAAGAGGAGGAGACATGATGTAATGCGGGCAGCCCGGCTGCGTTTTTGGGGACGGTACCGGGGAGGAATGGGGGGGGGGGGGGCGCTGAGGGCGCAGCAGCCGCAGCGCGGTCTCTCCCCCCCCCCCCCCCCCCCTCGGTGCGCACTGCGGCCGGGGCCGGGGCGCAGCGGGGCAGAGCCGCGGCCCCGGGGAGCGGCTCCCGGCCCTTTCCGGAGGGCGAGGCGGGGCGGGCGGCGCCGCGGGGAGAAGGAAGCGGCGGCAGGGAGCAGGGCAGGGACGGGGGGAAGGGAAGGGAGGGAAGGGAGGGAGGACGGACGGGGTGCCCGGCACGGCATTAGCTCCGCGGCCTCCCGCCGCCCCCGCGCCGCAGCCCTCCCCGGGGACAGCCCGGCTCGGCCGCCCCTCTCCTCAGCCAGCCCCCGGCGCTGCGGGCGGCCGCGCTACCTACCATGGCGCGGCGGCGGCACGAACTGCGCGACCACGAGCGGCGGCGGCTGCTGCCTGCGCTGCTGCTGCTGCTGCTGCTCCTCCTGCTGCTGCTGCTGCTGCTGCTGCTGCCCGGCGCGGCGGCGGCGAGGAGTGCTGGGGGTGCGCGGCTGCGCCGTGCCGCTATATATGGCGCTGTATCCCTCCGCCGGAGCGGGGCCTTTTTCTCCCCTCCCCGGCGCGCTCCGTGTGAGGGTGACTGCGGCGAGCGGCCCTGCCCCCTCCGCCGCCCGCCCCTCCCCGCCCCTCCCCGCCCGCCCGCTGCGGGAGACGGGGCGCGGAGGGGGCGCCCCCACAGCCCCCCCCCCCCGCCCCATCCCGGCCCCGCACCCCTCGTGCCCCCGAGGTAAGAGCGGCCCCGGGGGCCGTGCTGCGGGCAGCCCGCGGACCCCGAGCCCCCTTCCCTGCCCGGCGCCCCCCGGGGGTCCCGGCGGCTCGGGGACGTTTTTCCCCTGTTTTTTCCCCTTTCTTCCCCGTTTTTCTTATTTTTTCCCCGATTTCCCCATCCCCGGGGGCAGCAGCTGGGTGCCGGGGGTGCGTTGCCCAAGCGTGTTTTTTGGGGGAAACCTGGGCGAGCAGGGGGGCACGGAATAGGCTGGAGAAGTGTTGTGCAGCTCTGAAGCGAGCACCTTTAATCCTCAATCTTTAGGGTTTTTGTCAAGCGCCAAAACCCAGCGCTCGGTACAACCCATCCAGAACCAGGCGGTCTGCCACTGACGTGTCACTTGGGCCCCTTGGCAGCACAGGAGGGGCAGCAGGCCTGGTCTGCCTCCTCCCATCCTCCTCTGCCTCCCAGGCTTTGGGGATTCGGGCCACCAACTGATGATGACCCAGGTAAATACCGTAGCGCTCACGTCGTACCTTTTTGACAGGTACAGGAGCGTACAAACATGCACCTACACTAGCAGCAAGAATCTTGCATCCGTCTGTGACAGGAACCCTTAGATGCTGAGCTTCCTTGTAGCTCGTGGTATTTTTAGTTAAGGTTGTAATTTGGGCCTCTCCGGACTGGAAGGTTGGCGGTATTTCCGTTGTGGTCGTAATTCTGATGATCTTACTGCAATGTAGCACTAAATCTTCTAAAATGCATTTTTCTATTCTTCCAGTTTTGAAAAATTTTGCATACTTTCGGCCTTTGAAATAAAGGCCAAATGGGTTAGGTTCTGTTTATTTAACCATTGAAGTTACAATCCATTTGCTTGCCTTTCTGGAACGCAAAGATAGGTTGGCAAACACAGCTATCATCTATTTCCAATCTAGAAATACTTCTCATAGCGAGCTACAGCATATTCCACATGTCAGAGTTGGGCCCCAAAACTGTTGTAACATTTGTGTAAGAAGTACTGTCTGAAATGGTGTCAGAAAATCGATTTGCAGCTGGCTGGTCTGCAAATGATAGGTTTATGGATACCTTCCATTTTAGATGCAGAATGCCTCGCCTCCTATATTAAACGCATATATATTTAAATACAAAGCAGTAAGGCTGGATTTCTTTATTTTTTACATAGAAGAACATGCAAATCGATCTTTTGTTTTCAAACCAGACCAACAATTTTAAGCTCTTATTTTCCCAGCTTAATTTCTTTCCAGAAAACATGACACAATGCTTGATTGATGTGGGCTACAAGAGCTTTTGCTTGGATAAGTGAATCTTGGAACTCCCTGAGTCTCACGGGGATGTCTGAAGAATGTTCATGTGCAAATCATTCACTTCATTGCGCTGGCCTCACACAAGTGAAGATCTCATTATTGAAATGAGAGCTCTATACAAATATTGGGCTAACAAATTTATACAGTTATCTCACAAAGATAAATAGCTAATGCAATCTCATGGTCTTTGGCCAAAATGTTGCTAATGTGGAAGGCTGGAGGTATTACCAGGAGAATAATCTCACCAACACTTCAATGCGACAATTTAGAACGTGGGTGCTTATTTTCCAGTACATGTAGTACATTATTCCATTGATACAAAGCCTTCACTCGTTAAAAAGTGAGGGGATTAGATTGTATCTGTTGAGGAGAGACTAAGAGACACGTAATTAAACTTCATGGAGATTATTTTACAAAATACCAACATTACAATGTTTGTATATATGTGAAGAAACTTGGAAACGTGAGGTAAAAAGCTACATTCAATGAAGTCACACGCAATGACGGTTGCCAAAGCTTAACGGGACCTTGAGTAGAAGGATTGCTATATATTTTTTCCTATTTCTTTCTTTTAATTGTTGTTCTGGTGGGTGTGTGTGACTACTATTGCTAACTCTTAATGGTTTACACTAATAAATCATTTTTATATAAACAGAACTTTAAAATAAAATTACTTTTTGAGTATCTTGCAATATAGTCTCACTTTATTTCAGAAAAATTTCAAGATGACCAAATGAGATACCACAGATAGGTTCTGCAGTAGTTTCTGTTGAATTGCGTCATTCTGGATTTGAAAGTATTTCACAGCTACTACTCCAAAATAACATTCTGACTAAGGGGATTTTTTTTTCCTGATTTGACATATGGTAATGATAAATGTAAACAAAATGGAACACTAAGGTTTTTCTGCTTATTTAGTGTGGAAAACCTCATCTAAACTGGCATCTGCCTGCTCCTTGTAAGCTTGCTTTCACTCAGTTGTACAGCTCGAGTTTGATCGGTATTCTTTGTGCACTTAAAATTTACATTCAGTTGTGGGCAGGCAAGAAATGCCCCTGTCAGTCCAATGACATACAGTGTCAAAGGATTTGCCAGGTACTTATACAATGTCTCATTCAAAATCTCCTGGATCTCAGTGGGAGCTGGACTCGGCCATGGAATTACTCGGTAGTTGTGCCTAACACCGTACAAGTTGGCCACCCCATTGCTACCGAGTTTTTCTGTGAACAGAGGGCTATGCAATAGCTATTAAGATAAATTTCTAACCAAGTGTTTCTGTCTGGTTAAGGTTTACTGTTCTAAACTAATTTACTCTGTATCACTAAGCATGTTTTTGTCAACTTGTGTTTAAGCTGTAATATTAACAAAGGATTAGTTTACAAATGTATTAGGCCCAGTCAAAGACTTGCAACCATTCTACCAAGTATTATACCTCAGATATTAGTCTTAATACAATCTTAAAAATTGTATTTTTTAGAAAGAATTTTATTAGGAACTCATAATAAACCTTACCACTTACATGTAAGGTGTGTTTTTCAGCCTTGGTTAGTTAATATATGTACTGAAGAAAGTGGGTTCACGCATATAATTGTTGTTTTCTCATACATGCATAATTTAACAAAAATCAAAATAAAAGCAATTCACAGGCATCTGCCCTGGAAAAAGGATGTGAGAACAGACCCAAGTTTGAGATTGGATGTAATGCTCAGCTGGGAGGCTGCTATTATGGCGATAAGGATAGATAACCAGAATATAATAATTTTTAAATATTAGAACTCAAAATCAAGTATATAAGAGCCTGTGCATATATGTGTGCGTCCAGAACAAATTCAAAATTATTTTTTACTGATAAAACATTGCCAGTTATAGGTTTAAGCTACCTAAACTGGCGTTGAATTTGTTGTATTCCTTTTCAAGTTAATTGGAATTCTGTTGGTGTATCAGAGAAGAGTTTTTGTATCCTCTCTAAAATTCTGCTCATATTGTCAACGTTTCTTTGGGAGACCATTTTCCACAAAATTAATGTTTCCAAATGCCATTGGCAGCTGTGAAACACTGAGCCAGTATCCTTATAAAAATACTCCATGAGCTTCACTAAGATTGCAAATAAGTGGGTGGAACTCCATTGAAATAAAAAGCTAGAACAGAGTTGAATTTGACCACATTTATGCAAGAAGTAAAAATAAAAATTGCTTTAATCTTAACATTTAAGTTTCCAGGCCTGGTAGCATTTTTCAATGGGAACATATATGTTCCTGTCCCTTTTCTGAAGGGAGGGGGGGGGGTCGGGACTCCCCAATATTTTATATGTTCATAATTTGCCTCATTCCCACTGGCATATATTAAAGTCACATAGAATACGGATCTCTGAGCATTAAGAGTCGAAAAGCCATCTGTATAATTGAGTAACAGTAGTTGTTCCTTATGTTGAGAGTCCATTGTCTTGTAAAGTTTTAGGTGGTGATGTAAAACTGATTTAGCCGTTGGTTAGAACTAAATTATTTACACATTGTAATTAAATTAGTGAGTACTTTTCTACGTAGCTATGTAAATTGGCACCCTCGGGGCCCAATAATTTGAGAAGTTCCATGTTCTAAACTTAGGGCAGTTTGAGTGGGGAACCATAAAGATCCTATCTTAAAACGATTTGCACAGATGGGAATTATAGAGCTGCTCCCATACATAAACTCAGCCGTGTATTTTGCAGATTAAACAGTATAAAATAATTATTTTAAACCAAAGTACTTTTCCCTACTTCTTATATTTGAAATGTAAAAGGAATTAAAAAAAAAAAAAAAAACAACCTTTTTCACACAGTCTTAAAAAACAACCTTTCTTCACAGCACTGTGAAGAGTTTGCTAGAAACAGAGTATCTGAAAACAGGATTTTCCTTCTCAGGTTTTGTAATTGCCAGTTTCATAGAAAGGTAAACATTTGGATGATTCATGATATAAACAAAGTTACTCATTCCATTTGTTCTATTGTTTATGTTTTGTTATTGTTCGTGTTTTTATGGATAAAAGCCAAACTGTATTTGCTATTTTTCAAGAATCGAATGCGGAAGAGGACAGAATATTTATAAATGAATCTTTGATAATAATTTTGTATTTTTACGTAACACTGTCAAACATACTAAATATTTCCTAGGTGATGTTTCTTCACTGTTGGCTACATTTATATGAAGTAGAGTCCCTGACAATGATTGTAGTTGATATATCTGCCAAAGAAAAGTGATTTTTTTTTTAAACCACACATATATTTAGAAATATCCTGTATGGAAAGATATGTATGGGAACAGTCATTCTAATGACTGAAAAGTTCTGTTTCTAATTTCAGTAGACACTGATTACTCAAAATTTTAAACGAAAATATAACAAACATTAAAACAATTATTAGTCAAACTCACCTTGCTAGGAATGGCCTGAGCTTGCATTTGGTTTTTGAAGAACATGCTGAAAACCTGGTTTACATTATAAGTTCGGATTTCTGTTAAAACTAAAAGATAAAAGCCAAACAGCCACAGAATTTTAACCAATATATAGGTTAACATGGCATGATAAACAGTGATAAACAAGTACATTTGAAAACTTAAGGCCTGAAGAAAGGCTGGAAATCAGTCTGTTCAACTCCAGTACCTCTACCTTTCTCATTTCAGTTTGTTCTACTTAATGACCAAAACAAACAAACAAACAAACAAAAAAACCTTCAAAGTTACTTGAGATTGCTTTTTTACATAACGGAAATGATAAGATGTTCTGTTTGTATGATCTTTACATCTGTCTTTTGTTCATGAGTAATTTATTTTCATCTGAATATTCCTATGGGGCAAGCTGGGACATTAATTTTGCAATAAAAATCCCAACTAAATTTAGCAAACAATTTTGCTTAAATATAGGAGTATGTCAAAAACTTTCAGAAAACATTTAGCATAGATATAGAACTGAACAGTTGCAGAATCAGGCCCCGATATTGTGAAACACTAAGCAAAAGTGTTCTTTTAAATTTTGGTTGTTTCTGATCTTTGCTGGTAAACAAGTACAAAGATATATGGCCCAGGCAAACATATGTAAAATCCACAGATACTTCCGATGGCCACATCTCCCTTACTTAATCCCGAATCATACTTCTGTAGTAGCTTTATGTCAATACATTTTCTTTGGGTCAGATAGGACACACCTATCCGACATCCAGGTGGTTACACACCTTCATGGCCACAGCTGGAGTAAAAAAATCAATAACTGCAAACACAGAGTTCAAGGGCGATCAGAATCATAGTTTCCAGTACTGATTTTCAGCAACTGCAAACACGCCCTGAGGTTAATAAATCTGTGTTAATTCACATCAGTTAGGGATTTATTCCTCCTTTCCTTTCTCTCATGCATCTGCAACACAGTTTGTCAGACTCCTTGTGATAAGCATCTGTGAGACCAAACCCACCTGCCCTAAGGATGTCAGCTACTGCCATCCAGGAGATAATCCAGTGTTGTCATCCACCATAGCAAGGAGCTGGCCCAAGGTGAGAAGTATTATGCGTACCTCCTCAAAGGCAGATGCTGGAAGCCAGCATCCTTGGCAAGTGTACTCTTCATTTGCTTAAGTACATGGAGAAAGCTGTGGAATCCCTACACTTCTTTGGATAACTATGTTGTTTGTGCCTGCATCACTAATAAACCCACCTGATAATGAAATGACTTCATCAACTGATCAGTCATTAATTTTAGGGGGGAGAAAGAACAAAGTTTTTCAAGAACCTTGAAGAAAAAATGTATTTCTACTATCAGTTCTGAGAAACTGTAAAAATAAACTATAATATCCACAACCTATTGCTGGAGAATCAACAGACTGCTTCTCCCCTGGGAAGCTGGCATGGCCTAGGAAATCCTCTGCTGCAGGCTCATTTTCTTTAAAGTCTTTTAATGAAGAGAATTTTTAAAATGGCAGGAATATATGATGCCTCCAAATGCAGGCTCTTTCTTCCATGTTAAGGTTTTTCTTTGATACTTCCCCTTAATTCAGTTCTTTTTCTAGAACTTGGGGTTCTACATTTGGGGGCGTTAGCACATGTGAAGTCCAGCCTCCTAAAATGTCTGATCCTCAAAGTATTCATGAACCTCCATCCTAAAAGGCCCCAGCACGTCGCTGAAATTGCAGATAATGGTACCAAAAGAGAAAGCCTGTTTTTCTTTGTAAGCCAGCAAAATTGAGCTGTGTCATGGGGCCTGCTGTTCTTCCCAACGTTTTTGTGAGGGCACAGTTCACATCAGCTGCCTAATTAAATCTCTCTTCTGCCTGCCTTATTCTGAGGCCGTCAGCTTCTGTGAAATAAGAATATGCCTAAAACTCTGGTCTGTCCCAGGTCTGCACTGCGTGCACACCTCTCCTGGCAAGCGGCATTGGCCTTCCCCCAGTGTGGCTATTTGTTATTATTTTTGTGGTAGCAGAAGTATGCTAGATGCTAATGAAGTACTTATATTTAGTAAGTGCACTGTTATGTGCTGGCTGTGAAGCTGTCAGCAGCGTTGTTACAGAGCACAAGCCTAACACAAAGGTGCATTGCACCGAGAACTGGGATTTTTATGCTATATAGAAGGGAAGTACATTTAATGAGTTTATTTTGGTTAGCCTTCAGTTTAGTTTTGGGTCTGCCAATACTGACATCATTTTTCCAAGCAGGGAGCACCATCTAAGACT